CTGTTTCTACCACATCTGCAGTTATTTCCTCCACTGATGTCTTGAGTCCTTCAAAATCATGCATTGACAATCAGAATGAATTTCTTCCAAAATCTCGTTAATGTTGATATTTTGACCTCCTCCCATAAATCACAAATGTTCTTAATAGCATCTAGAATGATGAATCATTTGCAGAGGTTTTCAATTTACTTTGCCCAGGCCCATCAGAAGAATCACTATCTATGACCCCAATAGCTTTATATGTTATGTTATTACTTAAATAGTAAGACTTGAAAGTTGATATTACTCCTTGATCCATGCACTGCAGAATGGATGTTATGCATGAAAACAACATTGATCTCTTTGAACATCTTCATGAGAACTGTTGGTTGACTAGACTCATTGTATATGAGCAGTAACATTATGAAAGGAATCTTTTTTTCTGAGCTCGATAGTAGGCTTAACATGTTCAGTAAAGCATGCTGTAAACAGATGTGCTGTCATCCAGGCTTTGCTGTTCTATTTATAAAGCACAGGCAGAAAATATTTAGCATAATTATTAAGGGACCTAGGATTTTGGGGATGGTTAAATGAACATTGGCTTCAATTTAGAGTCAGCAGCTGCATTAGCCCCTAACAAGAGTCAGCCTGTTCTTTGAAGCTTTGAAGCAGGCATTAACTTCTATCTACAACAGTCCTAGATGTCATATTCTTCCAATAGAAGGCTGTTTTGTCTACATAGAAAATTTGTTGTTTAGTGTAGTCACCTTTATCAGTTGTCTTAGCTAGCTAGATCTTCTGTATAATTTGCTTCACCTTCTACATCAGCACTTGCTACTTCACCTTACACTTTTATGTTATGCAGTCAGCTTCTCTCCTTCAATCTCATGAACGAACCAACCTCTACAGCTTCCAACTTTTCTTCTGCAGCTTCCTCACCTTGACTTCATAGGATTGAAGAGAGTTAAGGCCTTGCTCTGGACTGGGCTTTGTCTTAAGGGGATGTTGTGGCTGGTTTGCTGTTCTATCCAGACCACTCAAACTTTGTCCATATTAGCAATAAGACTGTTTTGCTTTCTTATTTTTGGTATGTTCACTGGAATGAGTAGCACTTTTAATTTTCTTCAACACTTATTTGCATGCACAGCTTAGTTAATTGGAGCAAGAGGCCTAGCTTCATCCTATCTCTGCTTTCTACCTGTCTTCCTCACTAAGCTTAATCATTTCAAGCTTTTTATTTAAAGTGAAAGACATACGATTTCTTTTCACTTGAACACTCAGAGGCCATTGTGGGATTATTAATTGGCTTAATTACAATATTGTTGTGTGTCAGAGAATAGGAGATAGGGAACAACCTGTTAGTGGAGCAGTCAGAACACACACAACATTTATCGATTAAGTTTGTTTTCTTATATGGGCGTCATTTGAGTCATCTCTCAAAAATTGCAATAGAAACGTCAAAGATCACTATCACAGATCACCATAACAGATATGATAATAATGAAAAAGTTTGAAATATTGTTAGAATTCCCAGAATTTGACAGACATGAAGCGAGTACGTGCTATTGGAAAAATGGCACCAATAGGCTTGCTTGATACAGGGTTGCCACAAACCTTTTCTGCACATTTTGAAACTTTGTATTTGCACATTTAAAAAATTGTATATCCCAATAAAATCACTGGAACAAAAAAATCGATACTGTGATTAAACTGAATTTTATAGCTTGCAGGACACCTTGGATCAGCTTGGTTTTACTATAGCTTTTACTGTCATTCCACCCTGCTTCTTCCTTCACCAACATTCAAATTCTTTCCCTTATCTGCTAGCCAGGCAGATGGGAGAGGCAAAAGCAGTCTTCATTTTCAGTAGCTCTTGATTCTTTGATGTGAGAGGAACAGCACAGTCATTTAAACTTGATCCAACCTCTTTGTATCTTGCAAAGTTCATCAGCCAAAAAAAGTAAAATATGAAGGCAATGCTTGTGCAATGTACAGTTCATTTTCATGATGTATACCTTATTATGATTTGTCTGCTTGCTTCTCTTGTTTGGTCATTTCTTTGGAAGGCAGTGAATTTTTTTCTTGCGTTTTTTGTCTTCTTCAATTGTGACTTACCAAATTTCTCAATCCCAGCCGTATCAGATTTGTTGGATGTGGTTGCCAAGGAAGTAGAGTAAGGCATTTGAGCGAGCAGAATCTGATCTGCTCAATGGCCACCAGTGGGTGTCTACAAACATTCAATTTGTAAAAAGAAAAATATTGTATCTGTGAAGTGCAGTAAAGCAAAACTCAATAAGATGAGGTGTGCCTGTACTTTCCTTCACATGATTGTTGTAACTATTAAATTATTTAATAATAAAAGTGCTTAGAATTACACTTGCCACAGAGTAAGCACTTAATAAATATTAGCATATTCACTCAAATATCACTGTTTCATTGACATATAGATTAAAACCAAAAATAAGTGACTTCAGTGATTGTCTTACCTGATAAATAGGATTTTTTCACACATGCCAATTTCATTCAGTGGCTCTCTGGCACACTGGGTTGAAGGCATATTGAGGTTGTGTGTGAGATCACCTGGAAAGAGCATGCTGCTAGATTTGTGATAGTTGTCATAGGAGAGACGGTGGAGGAACAATACGTCTTGTATTTATTATCTCTAATACAGCTCACCCCCCAGTTTGTGGTTAAGATATCAGGTTGGTTATCTATTTTTCCAAGGGTTGTGGAAGATAATGCTGCATATGTAAAGGGGACCATTAAATAGAACCAATGGAACAGAACAGAGGCCTCAGAAATAACACCACACATCTACAACCATCTGATCTTTGACAAACCTGACAAAAACAAGAAATGGGGAAAGGAGTCTCTATTTAATAAAAGGTGCTGGGAAAACTGGCTAGCCATATGTAGAAAGCTGAAACTGGATCCCTTCCTTACATCTTATACAAAAATTAATTCAAGATGGATTAAAGACTTAAATGTTAGACCTAAAACCATAAAAACCCTAGAAGAAAGCCTAGGCAATACCATTCAGGACATAGGCATGGGCAAGGACTTCATGACTAAAACACTGAAAGCAATGGCAACAAAAGCCAAAATAGACAAATGGGATCTAATTAAAGAGCTTCTGCACAGCAAAAGAAACTATCATCAGAGTGAACAGACAACCTACAGAATGGGAGAAAATTTTAACAATCTACCCATCTGACAAAGAGCTAATATCCAGAATCTACAAAGAACTTAAACAAATTTACAAGAAAAAAAAATCAAACAACCCCATCAAAAAGTGGGCAAAAGATAGGAACAGACACTTCTCGAAAGAAGACATTTATGCAGCCAACAGACACATGAAAAAATGCTCATCATCACTGGCCATCAGAAATGCACATCAAAACCACAGTGAGATACCATCTCCCACCAGTTAGAATGGCAATCATTAAAAAGTCAGGAAACAACAGGTGCTGGAGAGGATGTGGAGAAATAGGAACACTTTTACACTGTTGGTGGGACCGTAAACTAGTTCAACCATTGTGGAAGACAGTGTGGCGATTTCTCAAGGATTTAGAACTGGAAATACCATTTGACCTAGCCATCCCATTACTGGTTATATACCCAAAGGATTATAAATCATGCTACTATAAAGACACATGCACACATATGTTTATTGTGGCACTATTCACAATAGCAAACACTTGGAACCAACCCAAATGTCCATCAATGACAGACTGGATTAAGAAAATGTGGCACATATACACCATGGAATACAATGCAGCCATAAAAAAGGATGAGTTCATGTCCTTTGTAGGGACATGGATGAAGCTGGAAACCATCATTCTCAGCAAACTATCACAAGGACAGAAAACCAAACACTGCATGTTCTCACTCATAGGTGGGAATTGAACAATGAGAACACTTGGACACAGGGTGGGGAACATCACACACTGGGGCCTGTCATGGGGTGGAGGGAAGCGGGAGGAATACCGTTAGGAGACATACCTAATGTAAATGACGAGTTAATGGGTGCAGCACACCAACATGACACATGTATGCATATGTAACAAACCTGCACATTGTGCACGTGTACACTAGAACTTAAAGTATAATTTAAAAAATTGACCACAAATATAAGTATATACAAATGTAAAAAAAAATAAGAATAATTAAAAAAGAAAGAACCTTGAATGCCAGACAAAGAAGTTTGGACATAATCCAAAAGTTAGTAGGTGTTACAACAGGACAGTCATGAGTTGCAAACGGAAGGTTAATCTGCCACTGATATGTAGGATCATTTGCAGTGAAGAGGAGTCAGAAGTAAGAATTCCAGTGGTTGTCATACTGTATTTTCTTGACTCTAAGCATTTTTTCACATATAAGCATAGTTCTTATGTAGTAGGGTTGTTAAGAAGATTAAATGGATTAATACATGTAAGACATTTAAATCAGTGCCTGGCATATAGCAAGCAGTAGTACAAGTGTTAGCTGTCATCATTATTACAATTATTAATCAATATATACATTTAATGTAGTGTTTTTTTAACCCGAAAGCAGCAGGTTTCTTAATAATAGATGACATCTTAGAATGGTGAGATTATAGACCAGGTGTACGATAATGAGGGCCTGGAAAAGGGTGGTAGTTGTGAGAATTCTGAAGAAGTAAGTCTGAGAGAGATTAAAAAAAGAATTGACTTGATGACGTATTAGGTATAGTAAATTAAGAAAAAGGAAAACTCTAAGACAACCCTCAGATTACACACCTTAATGAATGGGAAATAGCTTGATTAAGAAAGAAATGTTACTTGATCTGTGTAAAGTACTTACAACAAGGCCTTGCACATGGAAAGCATTATATTTGTTAGTTTTAGTAGTAGGACTGTTTATACTTGTTATATACTTAAATTTGTTATCAGGTCATTTAATAAAGCTACCAAAATATGAAAGAACCTTGTACATAATTTACTAGTAGGGAATTTATATATTCAAGGGAAAATAAATTATGTGTTTTAAATATTTTTCAGTATAAATCAATGAGGAAGAGTTCAAGTGGCAATGAAAATGATGAGGTAAGAAAAGATAATTATTTGAAATGTTTACTTATATGAAGTTGGCTCAGTGAGAGTAAAATGCAATCCATTTTTCAGATTCTTTGTTTTGATTTAATGCATGGTTTTTTTCCAACAATAAAAACATATGAGCATCATCATGCAGTTATTAATTTAATCATTTAATTTCCATATGTCCTTTAGAATAGAATTACTAATAATTCAGTTTTAGAATTTTATCATCATTCATCTTAGACCTGTAATCCATGAGTGTAAGTGTGTTGTCTTTCATATCTTTTATGTTTCTAAGTCAGCCTGGTTGTCAATTGAGATTTTTTTTTAGGAACTTTGTTTAGGAACTCCTTCCACAAATTCTGCATACTATTTTAAAATTTAAAATTTGACTTCTACAGTTTGTGCATTACCATAAACCTTTCTACTGCACCAGTGTAAACTATGCAGCAACCTATCATTGTTGAAAAGATATATTCTCATTACTATAAATTTTGTGTATTTTTGTTGGAGAGATTGGTATTTAATTTCATGTTGGGTACTTGGCAGGGCTTCTGAAAATGTCTTCAGTTTTAGGAAATAGAGTCACACGGGGAAGAATAATGAATAGAGCCAGATGATTGGGCATCTGCCAGATCAGATGCTGATTTCTCTCCATGGCCTCTCCAGTAGTATTTACTGGGATGAATAAAAGTCAGCTATAGCTATAACTGGTCATATTTTCACTGTTAGTATTTATGCTTAAGCCTGAATTACATGTTTGGTATGGGTATGCTTGGCAATATTTACCCGTGCATGAGCACAATCAGTTCCTGCACACCTGTCTAAGCTTTCCATTGCACCAACTCCATAAGATCCCAGCTTACACTTTAAATATTATTCCCAGGGAATGGCCTATTGTGTGGTCTCTAGCATGTCTTCACCAGCTGTCAAAGCTTCAGTGAATAACACCTGTGTACCTGCTGAAGCCTCTCAGATTTGTCTGGGAGAGGTTCAAGCCCTTGCAATCTTTTATCTGTCTTCTTACCTGCTTAGAATTTCTGCTGGATATATCTCATAAACCCAATAGGACTAAATATGTTCAAAACTGAGTTTTTTTAAAATTTTTGCTTGTACCCATTTTTTCACTAATATCCAACAGTTTGTGCAGTGGCTCTCAACTTTGGCTGTACACTAAAATTACCAAGTGAGCTTTAGACAATACTGTTGCCTGGGTCACACCCCCTAGATATTATAATTTAATTGGCATGTGGTATGATATGGTATGGACTGAGCAATGAAGTTTTTAATGTTTCCCGTGTAAGTTTAATGTCCAGCCAAGGTTGAGAACTACTGAGTTAATGGAATCACCTTCCATCATCTAGCTGGAGCAGGGTCTGGCAAATTATGACCCACGGGCCAAATTTGACATACTGTATGTGATTGTAAGTGAAGCTTTGTCAGAAAACAGCCATACTCATTTGCCTATGGCTACTTTTTCATTACTGTGGCAGAGTTTGAGTATAGTAGCCCTCCTTTTTCTCCATTTCACTTTCCAAGGTTTCAGTTACCTGTGGTCAGCCACAGTCTAAAAAATAGGTGAGTACAGTACAATAAGACACTTAGAGACCACATTTACATAACTTTTATTAGAATACATTGTTATAATTGTTCTATTTTATTATTAGTTATTGATGTTAATCTCATACCTGATTTATAAATTAAACTTTATCATAGGTATGTATGTATAGGAAAAAACATAGCACGTATATTATAAAGGATCTGGTACTATCTGCAGTTTCAGGCATTCACTGGGGTTCTTGGAACATATTCCTCATGGATTAGGGGAACAGTTAGTTGTCACAAAGCCTAAAATATTTGTCATCTGCCTTTGACAGAAAACATTTTGTTTTCCCTGTCTCCTCATACCCGCTTTTCTCTTGCCTGCCTCAATATCTAATCAGTAGCCAAGACTTACTGTTTGTTTATGTGCACTAAAATATTTTGCATACATTACGCTTTTTTTTCTACTGTTTCTGCTCTGGTGGAGGCCCCCATCCATTTCTTGCCTGTACTACTGCAATAGCCTCCTTGTTCTTCTCCCTTTCTCTAGTCCATTCTCACTGCAGCCGGAGTGGTCGTTTCAAAGAACACAGATGCAATCAGGCTATTCCCTTGCTTGGAAACCTTCAATTTCCCCCCATAACTTAGAAGATAAATTCTAGATCCTCTTTTATCAAGCCCCTGCTTGCCACATCAGCCTTAATTCATATCTTGGTCTTCTTTCACCTTACCCTCCATTCACCTTACCCTCCAGCAAGACAAAACTGCTCAGAGGTTTTCTGCACTCATCTTTACATTTGTTGCTTCCATGCTTTGGTTCTTCTCCTCTCATCTTAGCATGTTATTCCCTTCTTTCTTCTTCTGGTAAACACTCAGTTTTTTACTGAATTTATACTTTCTCAGGATACTTGCCTTTCTCTACCATCTTTACCATCCCCCCAAGTGCCCCTTATCTGTGCCTCATAATATACCATGCATTGTTCTGTATTATACTGAGAATGTTGTATTACCTGTATACATGAATCTATTTCTCTCTTCGACTGAAAGGTCCTTGGATGGGTGATATTTTACTAAATTTCAGTACTCTCAGTGTCTAGCATAGTGTCTGACATATAGTAGGTAGCCAATAATCATTTGTTGAATGAATGAATACATGTTCTATGTAGTGTGCATATTCAAAGTTAAATGTCAAAATTTTCGTATTTGGTTGGCAGTAGAATAGTCATTTAAAAATCATGGACCATTTAATGTTTTATTAAATGAAATTCTTTGTAATTATCAATAAGCCTATATTAGATACATGTAAATTTTCAAATGAAAGTTATTTCGGTTGATGGAGATTTTGCATGCCTTCATTTACATGTCTCAGGTTGGTAACACATCCGTGCTATTATATGTAGATAGTATTTTTCAAACTTTAAAGTACTATATTTTGAACCACTTGAGGGTCTTATTGAAATGTAGATTCTGATTAGTTAGGTCTTGGGTGAGGCCTAAGATTCTGCATTTCTAAACTCCCAGAGGATCCCTAGGCTGCTGGTTCACAGACCACATGTAGAGTGGCAATGTGCTGGATGGTATATCTTTAGTAGTTCTTCCTTTAGTAGTTGATCAAAACAATTTTTGTTTTCCTTTTATATGTTTAAATCATCATTTGTATTGTAATTTCATCTTCCATCCTTTTATTTTTATGTTTTAGCAAGACAGTGATAATGCTAATATGTCACCACAATCTCCAGTATCATCTGAGGTACAAGTTCTGTTTTTATATGTTTTAAAAATATGTTTTGTATGTTTTCTGTGTTTTACATAAGATTCTTCCTTGCCAGTTCTCTGTAACCTGATTTTTTTTTGCAATGTAATATTCACTTATATTTTAAAATCCATGGCAGAATAGTTTGTACAAACCTTCTAGCCTATAAAAAGTTCTAAGAATGCCCTTTTTTGGTAAAAATATTGATACTAGCACTTGTTTATTTATGATTTTCTTATTGGGAAGTGTCTGTAGATCGCAGAAAAGAATTCACTTTATCAAATCTATGCTTTCTCATTCATCCATATTTTAAAATAAATGATAGATTTTAAGAACAACTTTCCAATTTTAAATTTGAAAAAAGTACTTCAGCATTGTGCAATGGCCTTTGGTTTTTCTTGTAACCAGTTAGGTCTGAAACCAATGCAAAAGAAATTTCCTTTTTCCACGAGAAACATCCCTGCAGTGGGTTGTTCCTATCGACAGGAGGTTACACCTTTTTGGAAGAATGGGTATCAGAAAGTTAGAGTTTGTGAAATCTCGATCAAATACTCTGGTGACTTGAATGACTGATTCTTCTAATTTATTTATTCAATTCTGTTGCTTAACAGCAAGAGATAAATTTTAAAAATTCTGAACTCTATCTCTTCTACTTCAGATTACCTTAAAGTGTATTGACATTAGTAAGTAAATGATTACACATTCATTTGATGAATTCAACACTTTGCCTAAAGTGTTGGATGGCCCAAATTCACCGTGTAACTTTGGTTACATAGATGCTATTAATATTTCATTATATGTAGGTGATGTTGCTTTTTTAATAGGCTAGGATTCTCTTTGTCTGTTGTTGTGGGTGATCTGCATTACAAAACTTTTAAATGGATTTGGACATTAATTTTGTAAACATGTTTCTAAATTATATGATAGGTAAAATGGTATACATACTTTTAGAAAACGATTTAAATTAAGATATCTTAAAATTAGTCTTTGTCAGATGCTTTTGTAATTCTTTTACTTAAGTTACAAGTATAAGCATATAAGTGACTACTGCCTATTTGCTTGATTTATGATCTTACGATCTGTGCTCACAGGATAGACTATTCATACCAAATTTCTCAAATAACTTAACATTGCCATATGTATATATATATATATTTTTCTTTTCTTTTCTTTTCTTTTTTTTATTGACACATGATCTCACTCTGTTGCCCAGGCTGGAGTGCAGTGGCACGATCTCAGATCACTGCAACCTCCACCTCCCACATTCAAGCGATTCTTGTGCCTCAGCCTCCCGAGTAGCTGGGACTACAGGCACATGCCACCATACCTGGCAAATTTTTGTATTTTTAGTAGAGACAGGGTTTCACCATGTTGATCAGGCTGGTCTTGAACTTCTGGCCTCAAGTGATCTACCTGCCTCGGCCTCCCAAAGTGTTGAGATTACAGGTGTGAGTTTTATAATATATTTTTTATTTCATTTGGATCAGTGAAATTTTCATCTAGGAATTCATATTAATTTAACCAAAATAGTGAAGACAAACTGGGAGGCTTGTAGATTTGGATAGGGTGGTGAGTATGTATGTGTTTTGGTAACTCAACTGACGTTTAACTTGAACTGCATATCACATGTTAACAGAAGATTTAGGTAATCTACAGAATTCTGATTGCATTAATTTCATGTGTGAATTGAAAATAGTAAAACCAATTAGTGTAGTGCTTTACTGTTAACAAAGTGCTTGCCTGTATATTTGAACCTAAAAGCAGCCCCATAAAATAGGTATGATTCTCATCATTTTACAGCTTAAGAGATGGGTAACTTTCCCAACTATCTTAGTTAATAAATGGCAGAGAAGTGACTGAAGCTGAGCCCTACTCACTTCACAGAGTTGTTGCACAGGTTAAATAAGGTGCTGCTTAGGTTACATTATTTTATCACTTTACACAATAGTTTCATTTAGTTATCTCATTTAATCTTCACGGTAACCTCATTTGAAAGATGAAGAAACAATCACAGAGAAATTATATGTTGTGCTCAAAACACAGCCTAAGCTTTCTAACTCCCCCTTCAGATTTAATATACTACAAATCTTTCCACAGCAAACCACTGTGTGTGAAACATTTGAAACAATATGTATTCAAATATAAGAGATGATATTTGTCATCTGTCATTCTGCAGTCCCTATACAAATATGTTTGCCTTCAGATTATCTACTGTTAGGTGTTAAGTCCATAGTAGATGCTGAGTAAATACTAAATTCACTTATCTTTTCCTTGACGCTTACTTCATTTTTTGGGAAACTTCAATCTGGTTCTTTCAAAAAGTACGATCTATTTTATACAGTTCACTAATGATTTTCATTTTCTTTCTACTATGAAAGTATTTAAAGCCTGTATAGTTAGCTCAACTAGCAAATATTAGTTGACCTCTTAAAAGTGAAATGTATCAACTTGAATTGAAATGCAAGTTACTTTTCTCTTCACTAATTGTAGGGAAAATAAGTATTTCCCCAAACTGGAATGGATATGAATAAGCACCTTGATTATTTTGAAATAAAAGAAGTTGTATTATTTATTTATTTTTAACCTTTTAACTTTTTTTTAGGAATATGACAGAACTGATGGTTTTTCACACAGTCCCTTTGGCTTGAAGCCTAGATCAGGTAAATAGATATTCTGTAAATAAAATTTATCAGTTATATTTGAAACTAGTTTCCCAGCTTAAATGGGATTGATTCCATAGTTTTAAGTACACATAGATTCTTTCCCCTCTCCTAAAAGCAATTTTCTCTTAATCTTATTTGTCTTTCCAATTCCCATTCCCATTTCTTTCTTCCTCTTTACCTTCAAGCTCCTGAAACCTCAGCTTTTTGCCTTAGATATACTGCAGTCTTATTTCTACTCTACTGTGACTGCTGTTAGAATGACCACTCTGCCAGCAGACCAAACACTGTTTGAAATTATAGCACTCCATTATATTGTGGTTTTATAAAGGGATCTTTTCGCATTTGGCAAGCCCAAAAGAAAATGGATCCATGTTACTTGGCAAGGTATTGAATTACAGTTTTTATTCCTGAATAACTGTATTGACCTTCAAGAATAATTTCCTTTTTTAAAAGATAAAAGGCTGACGTATGTTCAGTAATCATTTTTAACCTGGGCCATAAGTTTCTAACAACGTATGTTTGAATAAGAACATGTATAGGTAGTATAAATCATTAACACTTATCTTCCCTGTTGCTTTCAATTATGCATATAAATAGAGTTCAAATATATTCTTTAAAAATATTTGGAATGTATTAGTAAGTAATAATGTTTTATGTCGTTTTGTATTGATTCTTTTTATCATGCCTCTTTCCCCATCAATAGTTGCTCCTTCCCATTAACTTTGTAACAAGTTAGGAAATTTCTGTTTTTATAGCTTTTAGCCGCTCATCTCGCCAAGAATATGGGGCAGCAGATCCGGGATTTACAATGAGAAGAAAGATGGAACATTTACGGGAAGAGCGAGAGCAAATACGACAACTTCGCAACGTAAGTCAGATTGCTCTTTCAGATCTGCTTTGTGGAAATGGGTTTAACTTGGAAAATTAATAAGGCATATGGATTTTATTTTCAATGCTCCTTAAAATGTTTGGATTATACAACAATTAGTAATATAAACATATAACATGTATGTTTAGATAAAGTATCTGATTTATACCTGTTTCTCTGTAGAATCTTGAATCCAGGTTAAAAGTAATTTTGCCTGATGACATTGGAGCTGCACTGATGGATGGGGTTGTTCTTTGCCATTTAGCCAATCATATAAGGCCACGTTCTGTTGCTAGTATTCATGTACCATCACCAGCAGTGGTAAGTTTTGTTTACAGTTTGTTAGTTCTCTAAAGGAAGATATTGCTTCTTATAATTGTCTTTAAATAATATACCTCAGTGAACGTAGTTTTCAGTTTTGATTAAGTTCCATAGAAAAATGCCTAAAAGTACATTTTTTCCCTTTTTACAGCCCAAACTGAGCATGGCAAAATGTCGAAGAAATGTAGAAAATTTTCTTGATGCTTGTAAAAAGTTGGGTGTCTCACAGGTAATTGTTATTTGTCGAACAACGTGATCACTTAAATTTGAATTTATTACATGCAAACTGGGATTCTTCTTAGAGCAATGAATAATGCTTTCTGAACATGAAAATGAATGCCTTCTCTTGGTACCTTCTCCTAAGCTCCAGCTTTAACTGTAGCAGTTATCTAATGGATGTTTTTAACTGCCTTTAAAGTCATTTATAAAATAGCTACAAATCTGGAAAATCATGCACATCACTGACCAAACGTAACTCAGTGGCCATGTTTACAACTTGGTTGTGATGCCATTGTTACCATCTTTTTTTCTTTCTTTCTTTCTTTTTTTTTTTCCAGAGAACATTTGGACTCCTTTGTAAGTCATTGGATAGATTCTGATTGGAAGATTTGCATTCAGTGTAAACAGCCTTTCAAACTTTATTTAAAATGCAAAATTGGAAATTATAGCAGCATATTATGATAGTATCTGTATTGGGCAAACTTTGAAATTTTTAGGAATTGTCTTACATTTCATGTAATAATTGCACTACTATGCAATTAATCATTAAAGCAGTATTGTAAATATATAAGGAACATGTGTAATCACAATATTGCTTCTTTGTAAAGTGTTATAAACCTAACCTCTACATGAATGACTATGGAGAAAAATGACATTGTTATCAGACCACAATTAAGTTGTTCTTGTTAAGCTGTCTTTTGAACAGTGTCTTAATAATCTGGTCTACAGATCCCATTTTAACCTCTTCCCTCAAGTAAGGAAACATAATTTAATGTGTAGAGAATCAGTGAATTGTTGGATAATTTGGAAATTACATGATGTTCTCTAATTACCTCTTATCTATACTTGATGTAATAGTGGTTTTTTTTGAGACGGAGTCTCACTCTGTTGCCCAGGCTGGAGTAGTGCAGTGGCATGATCTTGGCTCACTGCAACCGCTGCCTCCCGGTTCAAGCAATTTTCCTGCCTCAGCCTCCCAAGTAGCTGAGACTACAGGCACATGCCGCCACACCCAGGTAATTTTTTATTTTTAGTAGAGACAGGGTTTCACCATGTTGGCCAGGCTGGTCTTGAACTCCTGACCTCAAGTGATCCACTCGCCTCGGCCTCCCAAACTGCTGGGATTACAGGCGCAAGCCACTGCGCTAGTTGATGTGATGTTTTAAATTTTTAATTCTTAAAAATATTTATTGTTTCTTTTTTCTACTCTCAATCTTCCAATGGGGAAATAGCAAACTTAGCAACGCTTTCTCCAGCCATTACATTATACAGATTTTCCCATTTTGCCATTTTTTCTTTTTTAAAATTAAAAAAAACCTTGTTTTAGAGATGGAGTCTCACTGTGTTGCCCAGGCTGGACTGGAACTCCTGAGCTCTAGACTTCTATTTCACGAATAACTGGGATTGCAAGCGTTCACTACCTCACTAATGTTATGTCATTTCTGTTTTAAGGGTTTTATTTTTAGCTTGAGTGTTTTTCCTCTGACCTCAGAATTGGTAATATATAATAATTTTTAAATTAATTTTCTTTGTTTTAGGATGTTTTCTAATTTTTAACAGCCTTATTGAGTTATTAACATACAATATAGTGCATATAAATAAAGTATACAATTTGATCAGTTTTGACATATGCATACACCATGAAATCACCACCACAGTCAAGATGATGAACATATCTACTGCCCCCCAAAATTTCCTCATGTGTCTTTCCAATCCTTCCTTCTCCAGCAACCACTAATCTGCTTTCTGTCATTGTAGATTGTTTGCACTTTCTAGAGTTGTATATAAATGGAATGATACAATATGTATTATATTTTTCTATCTTCTTTCAGTCAGCATAATTATTTTATGACTCCTCAGTGTCATTGCATGTATGAATACACCATTGCTCTTCATTGCTAGATAGTATTTTATTGTATGGATATACCACAGTTTGTTGATCCCTTGACCTGCTGATGGATGTTTGGGTTATTTCCAGTTTTAGTGGCTACTACAAATAAAGCTGCTGTGAACATTTGTATACAAGTCTTTGTATGGATTTATGCATTCTTTAATTTTTGGTAAATACCTAGCAGTGGAATAACTGGAACATATGGTAGGTGCGTGCTTAACATTTTAAGAAAATACAAAACTCTTCCAAAGTGGTTGTACCGTTTTACATTCCTGTCAGCAGTATGTGAGAGTTCCAGTTCCTCCACATCCTCACTGGCATTCAGTATGATCAGTCTTTTAAAAATTTTAGTCATTGTGATATGTATGTCCTGACTTGCCAGGGCAGTTTTAATTTGCATTTTCCTAAAGACTAATAATGCTGATCATATTTTCAAGGGCTTATTTGCCATCTGTATATCTTCTTTTTGAAGTACTTTGAAGTGTACTTCTTTTTTGAAGTACATATTCTAATCTGAGGTCTATTTTGTATTGGGTTGTTTATTTTCCTATGTTTGAGTTTCAGATTTCTTTACAAATTATGGATAAAGTCCTTTACCAGATTTATAAATATTACATCCAAATCTTTGTCTTATCCTTTCATTGTCCTTAGAGTGTCTTTCAAAGAGCAGGATCTTCAGTTATTGAAATACAATTTATTTTTTAAAATGGGCTGTGCTTTTTGTGTCAAACCTAGGAAATCTTTATATAATCCAAGGCCACAAAGATTTTTTTTCCTATGTTTACTTCTAGAAATTTTATAATCTTGAGTTTTATGTTCATGTCTATGATCAATTTTGAGTTAGTTTTTGTATGTGGTTAAAAAGTATGGATTGAAGTTCTCTTTTTTTAAGCCTGGGATTGGGCATATACATTGACTTTTTTAAGAAAATATTTTTATTGAGATATAATTAAAATGCCATAGCATTCACTGATTTAAAGTGTATAAATGGTTTTTAGTATGATCACAGAGTTCAACAACAGTTACAACAATCTGTTTAAAGTATTTTTGTCACCCCAGAAACAAAGCCCTTACCCATTCGTAGTCCCTCCCCTGTTCTTTCTATGGATTTGCCTACTCTAGACATTACATATAATGAAATCATACAATATGGGGTCTTTAGTGTCTGGCTTCTTTGACTTAGTATAATTTTTCCAAGGTTCATCCATTTGTAGCCTAAATCAGTACTTCATTTCTTTTTATGGCTGAATAGTGTTCTGTTCTAAATACATACCACATGTTGTTTATCCATTCATCAGTTGATAGACATTTGGGTTTTTTTCACTCATTGTTTATTATGAATAATGTTGCTTTGAACATCCGTGAATAAGTTTTTCTTTGAACACCTGTTTTCAGTTCTCTTGGTTGTATACCTAGCAGTGAAATTTTTAGGTTATATGGTAACTCTATGTTTATAATATTTTTTAAGAAACTACCAAAATATGTTGCAAAGTGGCTCCACTATTTTTACATTTCCACCAGCAATATGTGAGGGTTCTAATTTCTTTATATCATCACCAACAATGGTTACTGTCTACCTTTTTGGTTCTAGCTATTTTAGTGTGTGTGTGATGTGATATCTTATTGAGGTTTTGATTTGCATTTTCCTAATAGTTAATGATGTTGAGCATCTTAGCTTGTGCTTATTGATTTGTATATATTCTTTAGAGTAACGTCTATTCAAACCCTGTGTCCATTTCTGAGTTGGATTATTTATCTTTTTTTTTTTGAGTTGTAGTTATGTATTCTGGATACAAATTGCTTATGAGATATATGACTTGGAAATATTTTCTCCCATTCTGCAGGTTGTCTTTTCACTTTCTTGATGGTGTCATTTACAGCACAAAAGTTACTAATTTGATGAAGTATAGTTTATCTCGTTTTTTCTTTTGCTGCTTATGATTTTGATATCATATCTAAGAAAACATTGTGTAATTCAAGGTCACAAAGATTTACATCTGTGTTTTCTTCAAAAGTTTTATAGTTTTAGGGCTTACCTTTTTGTCTGTGATCCATTTTGAGATCAGTTTTGTGCATGGTATGAGGTACGGATCCAAATTCATTCTTTTACATGTGGATATCCAATTTTCCCAGCACCATTTGTTGATAAGATTCTTCTTTTCCCCATTGAATTGTCTGTCTTAGCATCTTTGTCAAAAATCAGTTGACCATAAACGTAAGGCTTTTTTTCTGGACTCTCAGTTTTTTATGACTAAATTCCTTATTCCAGTATCACACTGTCTTGCTTACTGTAGTTCTGTGATGCATTTTGAAATCAAGAAGTGTGAGTCTTCCAGCTTTGTTCTGTATCAAGGTCGTTTTGGCTATACTGGGTCCCTTGCATTTCCATATCAATTTTAGGATTGATTAGCTTGTCAATTTCTGCAAAAAAGCCAGTTGGGATTTTGCTGGGGATACCAAATCTGTAAAATGATTTGAGGAATATTGTCATCTTCACAGTATTTATTCCTGTGATCCATTAACATGAGACATCTTTCCATTTATTTATATCTTTTAATTTTTATTCCAACAATGTTTTGTAGTTTTCAATGTATGAGTCTTTCATTAGATTTGTTAAATTAAATGTTTAGTATTTTATTCTCTTTGGTACTATTATAAATACCATTATTTCCTTAATTCCACTGTCAATTTTTTATTGCTACTTTATAGAAATAGAAGTGATTTTCTTTTATTGATCTTGTATTCTGCAACCTTGCAGAACTCATTTATTAGTTCTAATAGTTTTTGTGTGTGTGTGTGTTTCTGTGCCTTAGGAGTTTCTTTATACAGAATCATGTAATTATTCTTTCAAAGAATTCATCCATTTCATCTAACTTGTCAAACTATTAGTATGAAGTTGTTTATAATGTCTCCTTATTATCATTTTAGTATTTATAGAATATCTTGTGGTGTCACTTCCCTTATTTATGATATTGGTAATTTGTGTATTCTCTCTTTTTTCCTGATTAGCCTAGCTTGAGGTTTATGAATTTTTAAAAAATCTTCTAAATGAACTAACTTTGGGTTTCATTACTTTTTTTATCTATTGTTTTTTGTTTTTTTACTTTATTGTTTTCCTCTCTCATTCTCATTATTTGCACCTTTCTTTTGCCAGTGGTTCAATTTGCTCTTCTTTTTTTAGTTTCTAGAGTAGAGGCTGAAGTCATTGATTTGAAGCCTTTCTTCTTTTCTAGTGTACACTTCAGTGGTTATTTGAATAAATAAGCAAAATATTAAGAGGGCAACAAATATAGCAGTGAAGATGGAGATAAGGCAATAATTTTGAGAACTCTTTGTGGGATACCATCAGTAGTATTTGGAGAATTGGTTATGGGGATAAGGAAGAAAGAGGAAGACTCTTATATTTCACAGGTTTGTCAATGGAAATCGAATAGTGTATTACTCACTAAGACATGGATCACAGAAGGACAAGTTAATTTGGTAAAGTAATTCTGTTGTGGACACATTGATTTTGATATGTCTGTTAGATGTCCATTTGACTGTGTCTAGTTGGATATTTGTATTTGGAGCTCAATAGAGAGATCTTGGAAGGAAATAAAGACTTGGAAGTCATCAGTATGGAAGGGGTAGTTAAAACTGGAAATAGATGAGAATACCAAAAGAGAGGATATAGCGTAAAAGAGAAGAGAGTGAAGACAGAACCCTTGGAAACATTTGGGATGTTAGAAGAGGATCAGTGAGGGCTAATGAATGAAAGCTACTGCACAATTTCTGTCAGAAAAGTTGAAGTAGAAAAAATGGTGTCACAGAAGACAGGGGAGGGGTAAGGTTTCCAGAAAGGCATTAATCAAAAGCATAATATGACTGAGCAGTCAACTAGACATGTGCAACATTTGACATTTAAGATGACATTGGTGATTTTTACTAAAATAGTTTTAGTGGGCATATGCTTTAGGGTTAGATGTGAGATAGCAGTGGCTGAGTAGTGAATGGGAAATGCAAAAGTGGTGACCAACTCTTTTATAAACATTTTCTTTGTAGAGAAAGAGGTACAAGTGTAGAATGACAGCATTTCAAACAAGGCCAACTTCTATAATCTTTTTCTTACTATAAATTAAGAATCTAAAAACATTTTAGATTGCAATATTTATAAGAGAAGACTTAGAATTATGTATTTTTTCTTTATATTTTACAGAAATCATGTTTTTAAAATCAAATTCTGACTTAATGTTATTACACTTCTAAAAAATGAATGTTCAAATACCTTTTGTTTTTTTTTCTCCAGGAAAGACTTTGTTTGCCTCATCATATTTTGGAAGAACGAGGACTTGTGAAAGTTGGTGTCACAGTTCAGGCGCTCCTTGAATTACCAACAACCAAGGCATCTCAGCTTTCTATGGCTTGATATAACATTTAAAAAATTTAAGTGTATAGTTTCATTTATTTGCAGTGATTTCAAATATTTCAAATTCATGAATAAGAGTATTCCATCAGAAATAGTTTGCCTTAGGTCACGCCTTAGGATTTTAAAAAAATTACGTTGAAACATCAGACTTAAACATTGAATTGCCCAAACTTCTTTTGGGTTAAAACTGGATTAATTTAATAAGAGTATTTGATAAACTCAAATTCTCTTTTTACTAAATCAGTTGATAATCTTGATTATTTTTCAGAAAGCAGACTGATACTAAATTTAAAATGTAGTTTCAATTTAATAATCACGTTAGGTTTAATTTTTTTACGTCATAGCATACTAGTAAACATCTGGATAAAGGTAATTGTTTTTTAGCAATTTAGAGCAATTCTATATTTGAGTTATTTAATACACTTCTAATTCTAATTTATACACAATTTCTTCAATCTTTGGTCTTAGTTTTCTAGAAAAAAAGGCGTAGAAGAAACAATTCTGGCTTTATATTAAATTCTTTTAGTATTATAGGTTGGTGCCAAAATATTTTCAGTTGTACTGTAGATTGTTTACATGTGAAGTGCCTGTGTAATTGATGACTCTTATATAGTCTTAAGCATTTTTGCAATTTTTTAAATGTATTTAAATAGAGTCAATGGAACTTTAAAATATTTTAGTAGATTTTGTAGGGTCAGTAATATGTGAGGATTTAAATGAGCCTCACATTGTGACATTTGTGATTTTTTAGTTAGTCCATTGCAGTTTCCCTTAAATTGGTTATTTCATGTTGTCAAAAATACCAATGTTAATATGGTTAATTTATGATATTTAATTTTGTGAAACTTAATCATCTTTTAAAATGTATTATTTGAAGAGTATTTTATTTCTGTATTGAAAATGTTACACAAAGCAGTAAAGTTTTTGAGAACTAGTGGAGTACTAATTATCAAGGACATTTTGATAAAACTGCCAAAGTTTGGGTTTATATCTTGCCTTTGAGCAGCATTATATCAGTGCTGCCTTTAGCTATATTCAGAGAGCAGCAGTTGAGGAATAGCCTTTTACTCAAAATCTGGCCATTTGTGAATCCTGTAAACCTTGTGATCTTCAATTACTTTGATGTTAAATTAAATACAGACTCTTCTATAAATATTTTCATGAGATACTATGTTACACAAAGTCCTTGTTTAACTTACATATGGGTAAATTTACATTGGTGGTATTACAGGAATTTTTCAAAAACATTACTGTAATGAATAACTGAGTTTCCTATAGAAAAATCTTAATAATTACTTTTGTAGTAACCAAGCAAGCATCATATCTTAAGTATGTGATCATTTGTACTTCTTACCTCTTAATATGGATGCAAGTTATTAAAACTGTTGGCCTGGGTATTTCAAAGGGTATATATAAACGGTAAAAACTAGTGTGCCAAATGGTATAGGAACAAATGTACTTTTTTTGATCAGTTGGCATGAAGCCATAGAATTAAATTTTGGCTTTAGAAATCAGATGTGTTCATTACATTCCCCAAGGGTCAAATTGGAGCTTTTAAAGAATTAAAGCTTCTATGACTGTATGGTTTAAGAATTAAAGTATTAGTAATTTATTAAATATTTGAGCTTATTAGTTGTTAATTTTTTAGTTGGATTAAAAAAAAAACTCACACATTCTCCCTAGTAAAAACTTGGGTAATATATGTAAGAAATGGCAAATAAATACCTTAGTTAATGACTTTTTATGTAGAAATTTGACAGCATTACAAATTAAGTGACCATTTAAAACACAGCAATCATTCATACTGCTTTCATAGGTTTTATGATAGTCTCTGATTAATCAATCTAGTGTTAATTATTTTACAAGTGTTGTCCTGTTTCATATCTTTGAAGTAGTAGTGAAATTGTAGGCCATTTTCTTATTGCATTTCACTTACTTGTCAGTTAATTATTCCTTTAAAAAGAAAATACAGCAGAACCTCACTGTAGCATTCTTTACTGCAAAGCAAAATTCAATTTAAGATGGGCTTATCTGAGGTCCATATCATGGCAGTTCATTACTCTTGTGCCAAATGGCAACACCACCTCTAAAGCAGTTTCACAGCATAGTCCCCTACAACGTTATACCAAGGCTCTGATGTATTTCTTTTAGTAGTTTCTAAGTGTAAAATTTATTCTAAATGTTTTTATGGCTATTATCTATTTCATCAGTTATTGAATTAAGAATGATTTTCATTACTTGAGTGGGATTTGTGATTTTATGACAGTTAAATAATCAAAAATATTTTATTAGGCCCCCAAAATTTAATAGATAGCTATTTCTGTTACATTTTATTACTGTATGGCACAAGAAAGAAGTGACATTGGGTATGTTAGAAATGAAATAAGTAAAAATGCATTACCATTTGTTTAATAATTATCTTTACAGAATGCTAGTTTAATGACTTTTTTAACTGAATTTTTTGAATAAATCAGAAATGTTTGTATTTGTCACAGATCTATCATAATTGATTTTCTGATGCATTTAAAAATAAATGGAACACTTAAATGTATATTACCGATGCAAACTGTGGATAAAGTTGAAAGACAAAATTTTAAGTCTGGGATTTCTTTTTTCCCTCTCTACCTCCTTTCTTACCATCATATCATCCATTTTCTGTAAACATTTGATAGATGGTGTCTGTGTTCCCTAGTATAGAAAAATAGCCAGACTTAGAATATTCAAAGTAAGTGGTTTAAAGGTCCAGATTCACTTTATATTGTGAAAGGAAAATAAATCTTGGGGCCCCAACATCACTAAGCTAAAGGGAAAGGTCAAGCTGGGAACTGCTTAGGGGAAACCTGCCTCCAATTCTATTCAAAGTCACCACTGTGCTTACTGAGATAAATGCCTATCTGATTGCCTCCTATGGAGAGGCTAATCAGAAACTTAAGAGAATGCAGCCATTTGTATCTTATCTACCCATGACCTGGAAGCCCCCTCCCCGCTTCCAGTTTTCCCGCCTTTCCGGACTGAAATAATGTTTGTCTTACATATGTTGATTGATGTCTTGTGTCTCCCCAAAATGTCTAAAACCAAGCTGTGCTCTGACCACCTTGGCCACATGTCCTCAGGACTGCCTGAGGCTGTGTCGCAGGCACCATCCTCAACCTTGGCAAAATAAGCTTTCTAAATTAACCGAGACCTGTCTCAGATATTCAGGGTTCACATTTGGTAACCATGAAGGGATTCTGAGTGGAGGTACCCCTGACCTTTGACAAATCTCTTATTGGTACTTGGTACCAACATGAGCTAACCATATGGCTCAAACCCATAAGGCAATTTGTTGAGGTCTGGGAGCACCCCCTCCAGAGAATCCCTGATCTCCCAAAATCTGGTCGAAATCTAAAGTTTGTTTTGCTGTATGATTCCCTTTTTTGGAGTTTTACTTGCTCCCAACAAGGAAGGCAAGATTTCCTGCTTCCAGGACAATGGAAAGCAGGTAATCCTTTATGGAGTCTGAGCTTGCTCCCAACAGAGAAGATAGGTTTGAGTTTTTTCCTGCTTTTAGGATGGTAGAGCGCATTGTTCAGCCTGAGACCCATCTCTAGGTAAGTAACTGAATTGGGGTTTTGATTTGACTAAAATTAACAACCAGCTGGTTTTAATTTCTCCTTACCATTAGAGTGCTCAGTGATCATATCGTTGGGTTTTTTTTTGCTGTTGGTTGTTCCTGTCTTTCCCCCATCAGATTTGACCATCTCTACCTGATTTCGTCAAATCCGAGTGAGAATTCCAAATTATGGGTAAGATAGCCTCTCTAATTTGTCCAAAATTCCTTGCAGCTGCAAAAGGGGAAAAAAACAAAACCAAAAACCGTGCACTTGGTTTCTGTATTTGCTTCCTGTCTTGAAAAACAAACATTCTTTCATTTACTTTTCTTCCACCCTATTTTTTGCCATTTGCAGTACCAAAAAAAAAAAAAAAAAAAAAAATCTAGAGGAGGCTTCTAATAACTTGAACCCCTTTAAAAAATTCAGAACAAAGGTATCACTCATCCCTTTTGGGGTGTTCTGTGTTGTCAACCTTGGCAAAACAAACTGTCTAAATTAACTGAGACCTGTCTCAAGTATTCGGGGTTCACAATATGTCATTTTCAGTAGGTAATATTTTCCTTAAATAACAATAATTTTTTATGATATCCTCACCAAATAATATTGCCTTTATGTAAGATAAACTATATAGCATAAATATAAGAGAACTTTTTTGTTTTTTGTTTTTTTTAGACAGAGCCTTGCCCTGTCACCGAGGCTGGGGTGTAGTGGTGTGATTTCAGCTCACTGCAACCTCCACCTCCCCAGCTCAAGCGATTCTCATGCCTCAGCCTCTTGAGTAGCTGGGACTATAGGCACGCACCACCACACCCAGCTGATTTTTGTAGTTTTAGTTGAGATGGGGTTTTGCCATGTTGGCCAGGCTGATCTCGAACACCCGGTCTCAAGTTATGCACCCGCCTTGGCTTCTGAAAGTGCTGGGATTACAAGTGTGAGCCAACGCACCCAGCCAGTATAAGAGAACTTTATGTTAAATAAATGTAGAATAGGTAAAACTGTGATTTTTTTTTTTTTTTTTTTTTTTTTTTGAGACAGAGTCTTGCGCTGTCGCCCAGGCTGGAATGCAGTGGAGTGATCTTGGCTCACTGCAACCTCCACCTCCTGAGTTCAAGCAATTCTTCTGCCTCAGCCTCCCTAGTAGCTCGAACCACAGGCGTACACCACCACACCAGCTGGTATTTGTATTTTTAGTAGAGATGGGGTTGGCCAGGCTGGTCTCAAACTCCTGACCTCAGGTGATCTGCCCATTTTGGCCTCCCAAAGTGCTGGGATTACAAGTGTGAGTCACCACGCCCAGCCAATTGTGATTAATTTTAGTGTAGTTTTAGTGAAAGGTGTATTATTGAATTGCCCTTAAGCTATATGATTAAAAATTAATCTTTCTTTTTTCAGGTAAATTTAATATTTTAAAAATCCACATATTTTATTAAAATTAATTTGTAATTGTGATTTACCCTACAAGTAGAAAGTCATCCAGGTAAATGTTATTGAAGATAATATTATTCGCTGTTTTATAGTTACTCATCCTAAACTTTCAGATTTAAACAAGTACTTAAGTAAGTAAATATTCGGTGTAAGTTTTTTGAAAACGATTCTAAGTTTATCACAGAATTTTGAATTATCTTTAGATAATCGTACTAAACTTGTTTCCTCCTTCAGTAAATCTACAGTTTTGGTACACTACATGGAATGGTCCTAGAATTCTCAGGAACCTATGTCACTATCCAGAGCACTCCAGGGTACTGATATATTACTGTATATTAGATTCATGTGGAAATGCCCAGATATATTCTGGAATTGGTAAATTGGAAAATATCAATGTCATCTATTTCTTAAGGCATAAACTTCTCTAATCCTGTATTTCAAAACATGAAAAATATCCTTATGCTTACAGTGTTTAAATAGCTTAGAATTTCCACAGTTGTGTGTGTGTGTGTGTGTGTGTGTGTGTGTGTGTGTGTGTGTTTCATGTAAGGCTCCAGTTGTTTTAGCAAAAAAGAATCTTATTGCATTTGCATTGGAAAGCCAGAGTTTAGAAGTTATGAGAATTCTTACATAAAGAGTTTAGGATGGAAGGTTGGTGACTGAATAATTTGAGTTACCAAAGTAAAAACAGAAGTTTCTTTAAAATGTGGTCATTTTAAAATTTAAGTTATTGCATAATATTTTCCTCATTTCTTGGATACTTTATTTTGAGTACCCTGCCATTTATGGTTAGAGAAAAATAAATTTATTTTTACTCTAGTCCATTGATATGTATCAATGAATTATCTACCTAACTAGGTGAGAAATGTATTGGGTATGTATATATGTAAATGATAAATAGAAATAGATTTTTCAATAGCGAATTGAATGTTAGAAAACTTCAGATATTCATTTCCAATTCAAATAAACACAAAGTGATCCTGTATAATTTATGAAGTAGTAATTAAAATAATACCTTAGGGCAGTGATTCTTAAACTTTGGATTTTAGGAAATCCATATGAATCAATATGGATCACCTAAGGATTTTGTTAACGAAGTACAGATTGATTCAATAGGTCATGTGTGGCGTCTGAGATTCTGCGTTTCTAACAAGCTTCCAAGTGATGCTGGTCCAATAGCCAACTTGAATAATAAAGCCCTATAGTCGTTCAAGTGCTGTAGTAATATCAATTTACTGTACGCTAGTATAGTAGTTTGATATTTTAAGAGATGTTTCAAGATCTTTACTTAACATTTTAAATTCTATTCTGAAATGTGTTCTACTTTATTAAGGGCTTTGGGATTTTCTTTATGGTTTAAAAAGGTATACTTTGTGTTGTGATTAGTACTATCTCAAATTTTCATTTCTGAAAAATCATTTTAAACACACACAGCTGTATAATTTTCAAGATAAATTAAACTAGTCACAGGTATGTGTGATTATAAAATGGTCATATATATCTAAACAAGTTAAATTAACAAATATTAAAGCAAAAAGATGTCATCCTTCTTTTGTGGAGCACTTAGAAAACTACATGAATTTTTTTATAGTCTTGAGATCAGTCCATTTTCTTGCTATCCTTGCTTTTAAGTTGAACACATAATCATTTTTTCAGGATAGCATGTTAAATATAGACCATATACAAATAAACTAATATATATTTAACATAATAGTTATGTTTTGTGATCAGAGCTTAATTTTGAGATAAAGATAAATTTCTCCCCTTCACAAAACAAATGAGAAACGCTATTTCCTTCATTTAAAACATTTGGAATCATTTTACTCATTTTAATAGCCTTACAAAAGTTGTGGATACATTGCTAGTTAGAAAACAAATCAAGATTGAAGTTAGCCTGAAATGCCAAAGGCAGTCAAATGCCTTTCATGGCAAGATATGACTCATGTACTTTGACAATAAATGGAAATATTAATAATTAAATATGAAAGGGAAGAGCACAGACATGTGCAACATTGAACTAGAACCTTTTTCTATAATTGAGTTATAAATAATAAAACATTATGTATGTCTGTCATTTATTATCTTTAACATCTAAGATTAACAACTGAGTAGAAATGAATATTATGCCGTAGCTTAAATTTTAAAATCCCACATACTTGGATATAATCATGGTTAGTAGTGAATAAAATATATTTACAAATATACGTTTTAACATATGGGCATAATTTTTAGGTATTTTGTACCACAGTTTTTCATTGTGAAAGATAAAGAAGAGCTTATGATACTTCTAGTATAATCGTAAAAAATTAAAACCATAAAAGAATTACAGAATTTGGGTATTGCCATATTTTCATTCTTCAGGCTAGGAAACTAAGGCCCAGAAATATGATTTGAACAATTATTTAAGGACTGAACTTTTTTGTAACCATCCCTGGATCATTTACCTACTCTACTAAAACTTAACTTTGTATGTATGATTTTTGTTTTTTACAAATCTTTGAAGCTTTTATGTATGACCATTTGTTTGCAATATGTAACATTATTATACTGTGAAAAAATAATTCTGAATTAGTTAATTT